TGAAGATCGTACGAGCGTGTGACGTGTTCGTGTATTGTTATCACCGAGAAGGATTCACCGTCCATCAAACAAACACGAGTTATTGTGGTCCTGGAAAGATATTCGACGCATTCAGTCAAGAATGTATATCGGAAATTAAAAGTGAGTTTGAGGTTTATTAAAAAATTCATGCTGCAATTTTTTTGCCTGTATTTTAGAGTAAAGGTGAAAAATAAATAAAAAAATATCAATTTGGTATCTATGCAACTAACTATTGCATGTATTGAAAACGCAATTTTATTCTTCATCATTGACAAACCTTTGTCAGTTCTGATTTTTATTAGAAAGCATATAATGTTTCTTATGTAATTTATTGATATTTCTACAGGCAGCGACCTGTGCCCAGATGCGACTTCAGAGACCTCAGTTTCGTGTATTATAGAAAACGAAAGCTGCACTTACTTCACTTCATGCGAAACTGAAGAAACATTCTTGGGCTGCACTAGCTACCACTCCTGCACTTCGAGTTTACGGCCGTCGGCAACTTACTTTCCGTTATGCAGCGACGGAGAAACGTTTGCACTGAATTACTCAACCTGTCTGCAGTATCCACAGGCGCGAACATCACTCACTATCGGTAAATTTTATATATTATAACAGGGATTAAATTGCAATGTACAAACACAATGAAATAAACACCCAACTCATTTCTGCGAGAACATGACTTTTTTGAAGTAGTTTGACTCACACTAAATTAGAATATGAAAGAAAATTGTAAAATGTTCGTAATATTTTATTGATACTTCATGAATTCTAGTGATTCCCGAGGATTAATTAGAAATTCCTATGGATTTTGTCAGTTAGAAATGACCATATAAAAGCAAGTCAGTGAGTTAGCACTCAGCAGCATATATTTCATACGTATATCCTATATCCTTAGGCAGCACAAATAATTTATACTGAATTCATTACTACTATTGTATTTTCCTGTATTCGCAGGAGAGCCTGTGACGGAACCTTGCTTCAACACCGGCTTCTACGAGTTTGCATCGTCAAGTTTCACCATCGAGTTCCGAGTCCCTTTCTTTGACCTGTCAAGCTTGCTACAAATGACAGTTTACAAAGACGAACATGAATATTTCACCTCATGTCCCGACCCGGAGACATGCAGCGGAGTCACGTGCTATACCTACTTGAAAAAATGTGAAGACGTGAACGTTTGTTATGCGTTTTGGCCCGCAGAGACGATGCGGATGTGCGAAGTTCTTCAACGTTGTCTCCACAGAAGCGGACGTTCGGTATACACGACGCAAGAAGCGTTCTGTGGAAAGGGGAAAATTTACAACGCCTTCAAGAAAAAATGTCTTCCAAGAATTTCAGGTAAAATTCCTTTGTGAAACGAAAATTTTATTTGAAATTAAGAAATAAATTCCATGAAGTTTAGTTGTGGTAAATTGGGTAATTTTGTTGTAGAAATGTGTAATGTTTAAAGGATTCTTTTTAATATTGGTTGATTTTAGATTTAGGCACATAATGATATGAATATGCACAATGCATGAAATAATTTCCCCTCCAGATTCTAAGAGGTGCCCAGTAAATGGCGTTACAGTGAGTCGTGTAGAGTGTCGTCGTGAAGATCTTTTATGTTCATCTTACACTTCGTGCGAGACCGGCCAGGCCTTCACAGGATGTCAAAGCAAATACACGTGCAGCAGCGAGAACGATCCTATCTATTACAGCTCCGAGACTCACGACGACGTGTGCAAGAGTGACGAGATCTATGCTCCTGCTTTTGAAACTTGCCTCAAGCTCCAAACAACGACATATTTCTTCGGTGAGAACTTTCTTTAGAAAATGTCTTAATTTAAATGTATTTTGATGTTACTTTCTTTTGAAATTGTACAGTTTTACATTTATTTTCTACTAGCGCTGATTTTATAGTTTTCAATTTGATTTAGTTTGCAGTGTTGAATATCATTATTGATTGGAGGTACCTCTTAGTCCGAATAAAACACATTCCCCATATATTAACATTTGCACTCATTGCAGGTTTATTGACAATACAAAATGACTGCATAAACACGGGAATTTATGCAATAACGGGCGATGAAGCTGTCCCTGAAACCGTGGCTATCGAAGCAGAAAGTCCAGTTGTTCCAATGGCACCGGTCGTAGCAGAAAATGTTCAGTCTGAAAGTCTTGCAGATCTCTGCAGAGATAACGAAACATGTAATGCATCCACTTGTTCCCTGTACCTTGTTGGATGTCGAGATCTAAACGTGTGTGAAAACGAAAGACCTGTGGGAGCTATACGGCAGTGTTACGCATACGAAGTTTGTCTGCATAGAAATGCAAGTGATTATTACTATACCCACAACAATGTTTGCAAAAACCAAGAAATTTTCGATGCCTTTAGCAGGACTTGCCGACCCGTGATATCAAGTAAGTGTGCATTTGTTTGGAGAAAATTCAACATCGTTTTTTCCTACGAGTTAATATGTGTATTGAGTTGAAATAAATATGTTGGGTGCACCAATCAAATAAATATATTCAAATACATGAATGTAGACTTAAATATTAATTTAAAAGTATTTTACTCGTAGCTCAAAACGCTTGCTCCACCGATGTATCCAACGGAAGTGAAGTGACCTGCGTTCAAAAGGACGAAGAATGCCAAGAATATTCGGAATGCGAAAAGAAAGAATACTTAGAGGGCTGCAACCGAACCTTTACTTGCACCAGCACTCAGGCACTTCTAGGAGTGCGGTCAACCACCTCCATGACCGCGTGTCCAACCGATGCTGTTTACGCAACAAAATATTCAACATGTCTGATGCTTCCTCGGGCTTATGTTGAAAACTGTAAGTATTCTATTCGGTTTTAAGGTTTTATTATCTGAGATTTGCTAGCATTCGTGGATAATTAATTAATCACTGAGATTCAGACTGTGAAATAATCACATGTTGCTAACATAGCATTTATCAAACCGATAATTGATTTTATTTTTATTAAATTCTCTCAGCTGAAATTGGGCGGGAGTTCTGTCTTCACACCGGCGTATACGGAACGCTACCAAATACCGTATATAAGGAATACACTAAAAAGATTCCTTCACAAGCTATAAGTGTTACTTTAACGGAACGGCCGTCGCAGTCACCGGAGGAGTCATGCCAAAACGCGGAAACTTGCCGCGGACAAACATGTTTCTCTAACCTGCGGTCATGCAGCGATGTAAATATCTGTCCTGTTAACGGCAAGCCTGTCACGCTCAGGATATGTCATGGACATCGTCTTTGCTTGGAGAGAATTGGTCGCTCCTACAGGGTCAATGCACAAGAACTCTGCCCTGAGGGCAAGATCATGGATGTCATCAGTAGACGTTGCTATCAAAGAGAAATTTGTGAGTGAATTTGTACAGCTGTACTAAACGAAAATATATGACCATTTTTACGAGTCAGCCGAGTAAAGCGTCTGTAAATTTCTATTATTTGTTGTATCAAATTAACAAAAATAAACTAAAATTACGCGATTTCACAGAGGCCTCGATTCCGATCTTGCGAAGCAATGGTTAACCCTTTAGCGTCTAGCTGTACATACACTGTCGCTTCTGATAAGAGCGATTTTTGTTTATGTTTGAAGCTCATTCATCCAATGAGAGAAATATTTTGCCATTAACTTCGGGCAGATGGAGGTTTTTTTTATGTCAGGTTTTTTCAGATGATAAATTTCAGCAATCTGGTATGGATGCAATGTAGTATTTTGCATTAGCATGGTAGCTGGTCGCTGAAGGGTTAGAAGTGGGCTCTATTGTACTAAACAACACCACAATACAATAACATTTCTTACTAATCCAATTCGAATTTTAAACAATTTCACGAAATTTATTCCGAAGTGGCAAGAATACAGGTGCGTTATTTTCCAAAGGATTTCAGCTGTGTATTATTACAAATAGTTTAGTAGTATAATAACGCGTGCCGAGTTTGGAACATCTTAATCTAACAACTACTAAGTTTATTCTCATCAGTGTCAAGCAAGTGCGCCGTAGGAGGCGTGACCGGCAGCAGCGTGGCGTGCGTCCGACAAGACGACATCTGTCGTAACTTCACTTCGTGTGAACTGCCCAATATTTCAGTTAGGGGATGCCTTAGCTACCACTCTTGCACCAGCGAGCTACCGCCCCTGCAGGGGCACTCAACAGTCAAAATTTCTCTCTGCAGAACCGGAGAAATTTTCGTGCCGGAATTTTTTACTTGTCTCCGACTGCCTACATCGGGACAAGCTTCTGACGTCGGTGAGGAATAAGAGTTTTAGAATAAGAAATATTTTATGCTACTTTCCGACCAGCGTATAGATCAAAATATGAATTAATGTCAAGCAAGTGAAGCCTCATGCAAATTAAGCTATAGTTAAGCCTCAGCAAATAGAGCAGGGTTATTAGCCACTAATCCGGGCGCTATACTTATGGGCCGGTTTCTCTAATATCTAATAGCTACCGGACTTCGGTAAGCGCGGACTCGTACATTTCAATATATGTTCTGAAGTACGTTATCCATGCATACTAATCATAGCACAGACATGCATGGAATAATTCAGTTATAAATTTCGACTTTTACTTTCGTAAGGGGAAGATCAAGCAACCCTCAGACACGATCCACGAACATCGTTTCATTCTCAAACCGGTAAAAGTTTGTTTCCTAAGAGAGAATTGGTCTGTACATGACATATTCTACTCACATTAATGAAGGTGCAACAGATTCCAGTCTTAATTTTTAAGCAAAGAGCTGCAAGTTAAGTAATAAATCAATTACAGCTGACATTAATGTAAGATATTCGTAACGAACTACTTGTGCACAGTGAGAAATGAACACGAGTTTTCCTTATTCGAAAGTATTTTTCAATTGCCAAACTTATAGGCCCAGGCACTTGCATTCACACGGGTATCTACGGGATTGTGCAAGGCGACATGTTCCACGCACACCTGCAACACGAAGAAGCCTCTGTGACAGAGACCAGCCCGACAACGGCTGTGACAGACTCAGCATCCTTGTGGGAGGCTTGCAACAGACCTGAGTCTTGCACAGGAGTAACATGTTTCCTGCATGTCTCATCCTGCTCCGACGCGAACATTTGCGAAACCAATCAAGAGCCGTCAAAAGTTCGCGTTTGTGCAGCATCTTACATATGCCTCAGTAGAACTGGAACTCACTATAAGGCATACAAAACAGAAGTGTGCGAACCAGGCGAAGTGTATGAGACCCAGTCACTCACTTGCCAACCAACGAACATACGTGAGTACTTTACTCATTTAGGATTAAGCTGGGGCTAACTTTAATAATGAAACACAAGTCATATTCGCAAGTTTTAACCCAAATCGAACGACGAACACATTAAGATGAATGAATTTTGTTTTGTTGCAGTCGACTTGAAGTGCCCCGTCAACGGCGTTCTGAGCAGCACAGCTCGCTGTACTCGCAGGGACGAGGACTGCTTGACGTACAAATCTTGCGAGACACAAACGAGCTTCCGAGGTTGTCGGTCATACACAACCTGCGTCAGCTCACTGCTGTCTCCAACTCACGCGACCAGAATTCCTCTCTGTGAAAATAATGAAATTTTTGCTTTAGAATTCCTCACTTGTCTACGGATACCGCAGTCACAAGCGTTAATTTCAGGCACGATAAATTCAACCAGGTGTGTCTTAACGGGAATTTATGGATCATTTTCAATGACCATCTATCAACAGTTCGCTGGTATGAACTTGACGATTGCAAGTCCCTCAACATCGTTAGTCCAGACATCTCTCTGTTCTCCTCCACACGGCTGCAGAAACACGACCTTCTTTCAGCACATCGCTTCATGCAGAGAAGTCAACATTTGCCACGATGAAACATTCGTTAGAAATGTCCGCGTTTGTGACGCCTCTAAAATTATATTAGAGCGAAGAGGATTGCAATACGAAGCCTCAAAACAAGACTTCTGTGCAATAAATGAAATCTTTGAATTACAATCGTTGGAATGTCAGCCTAGGAGCATACGTGAGTACACATCGTGTGTCTAAATATAAATAGTATATCCACATTAACAAAATTAAATTTACATTTAATCTCAGTGGCCAGTTTGCTAGTGCGTGTGTAGATAATATAATTAATATTTAGTTAAGAAACTTCCGGTAAAAATGAAACATAACTTAGTGTTGACTAAGGTGCCCGACTGAATGATGCTGCTAAAAACATTTTTCTAATAATAATTCTACAACGCCTAGTTCATTTGTAATAAGAATGTAAAAATAATTATTGTACTTAACATGTTTTTATAGGGCACCTTGGCTCGTGATGACTTTATTAGAGCATTTACGAACCGTTTTAGTCCTGAGAAACAACCCATGTAAAATAAATATGTTCCATGCCTACTCAGAGTCGAGTGTTTTATACAAGACGTCTCAGTTAACGATGATGATGATAATTTTCCCTATTAAATCATAATATTTTATTGCAGTTCAGGCAAGATGTCAAGTTAACGGCATTACCAGTACGAGCTTAACGTGCTCCATATCCGATATCGAATGCAAAAACTACAGATTTTGTGAAACACAAACGAGTTTCCGAGGCTGCGAAGCGTCCTACGCATGCGTCAATGCGATGTTACCCTCGGCGCCCGTCAGCAAAATTCCTCTGTGTAAATCTGGCGAGATTTATGCGGTCGAATACGCGACTTGTCTCGTACCGCCACAAGATGGCGACGGTGAGTATTTAAGGCTGATTGAGGAATAAGGTAAAATATTCAGCCCACTATTTCAAACACTATTAAAATACATGGATATTGTATAATCATAATGCATATATTGCTGCACGTAATGTAGAGCGAGAAATTTTTTATAGACTATGCATTCTCTACTGACTGAGATATTTTCAAACCAAAATTTGTATGAATTAGCGATGCGTCGTACAATATTGTTCACGATGCCGTAGCCTCGCTCTATTTCAGCAGGTACAAATTATTTATTCATATGAAACGTACTAAATATTTACAGGAAATAAAAGCTTGAAATGCACCATGGTAAAATCTTTTTATTACTAACTTTATACAGGGTGCGGCGCGGGAACTTACTTATTTGAATTGCGCGCCACGTGGCGGCCATTAGTCCTAGGAAGGTGGCGCCATGCGCAATATGGTGCGCGGGCTATGAAGTTTTTCGTCCACTCAGTTCAGTTGCGACCATGCAGTGGTCGAGAGAGGAGCGCGCGTTCGCAGTCTCATGGAGGTCACCTACAAGATGTAATATTCAAGAATTAAACTTGTAAGTAAACCCAACGAAACTTTAAATGTAGCTCTTTGTAAAAAAGAAAGAATTAAAACGCTATCTTTAATACTTTTTACTTTGTGATTTTTTTAAAAGAGTAAGTTCCCACGCCGCACCCTGTACAGCGAAAATTTTAATTAATAGGCAGCTACGATTACCGGAATTAGTCGTGTGGACTCGAGCACAGTAATAAAAAATAAAAAAAATCCTAGTTGATGGAAAGAAAATATCCAGTTCCTTTATTTCCTCTGATATTGGAGGTATGAACATTATAATCAAAACTAATAATATGACGAATATGTTAACTTGATTTAATTTTCTTTCCTGCGTAGGTGGATGCGTGCACTCTGGTTTCACCCAAAATTTCACCAAAACTATATTCCATCAATACGTGAATGAGAGTTTTTTCATCACCCTGGAATCACGAATAGGAAAACAGCCATCAACCACATGCTTCTTGTACGTGCACTCATGTGAAGAAAGTCAACTTTGCCGGGACGGTGGCATGGAAGTCATACGTACCTGCAATGCAGACAAGCTCTGTTTAAGACAACAAGGAAATACAAAACTAGCCCAAATACAGCCTTTGTGCACCAATGGAGAGGTTCTGAATATAGCGAATGGAAAATGCGAAAATCTACACACATGTGAGTTTTAGACAGAAATCTTCAAATGTAAATTTTCTGGAAGACTTAGCGTTGGAATAAAATGGGATAGTTTGCAATACGGAATTCTCCAGCTCAAAAAGAAAAAATATTTTTGAAAAAGTAGATTCTAAATTGAACCTTATTAATTTGTGTGTATAAAATGCGCGCAGCTTGTCTCATTGAAGCTACATGTTAACATCAAATCTCAAAACTAATATGGTATGATAAACTAAGCAGCATTATTTTCCACTTAAATGAAAAACTGGCACCCAAAAGCCGATCCGCGAAATCAGGATTTATCGAATATAATTTTCCTTGCGTTTTTCCCAGTGAGACGACTACGGTGCCTTGGTACCACCCCGACAGGCGTTAAGTGTCAGAGACGAAGAGGTCCTTGCACGTCATATAGTCGTTGCCAAAAGCCAGGACTGGCAGTCACAGAAGGCAGGCAAGGGCTGCCTGGCCCCGTCTTGGGGTGCGATTCTTTCTACGACTGTACCTCCAAGCATCGACCAGAGGCGACAGGGAATCAGTTTAAAGTTTGTCTTCCGGGAGAAACATTTTCGTCAGATTACTTAACCTGCTTACACATCCCTCATAATGGATCTACTTGTATTGACCCGGGACCCTACAACAGTAATGCAAACTTTCTTATCCTTGAGTACTTAAATAAATGGGATAAAATATCAAATAAAGGCCCGGAACAAAGCGTCGGTATTGATGGCCATGATATTTTGCCAGAGGACCAAACAACAGCGGGGACGATGATACAGGAAAATACTGGCAGACCAGGAAAACCAGGCCCTCATGGCATACCAGGACGCCCGGGGACTGATGGCAGACCAGGACGCCCGGGGACTGATGGCAGACCAGAACGCCCGGGGACTGATGGCAGACCAGAACGCCCGGGGACTGATGGCAGACCAGGACGCCCGGGGACTGATGGCAGACCAGGACGCCNCGATGGCGTGCTATAAGTGGTCGATGGCGTGCTATAAGTGGTCGATGGCGTGCTATAAGTGGTCGATGGCGTGCTATAAGTGGTCGATGGCGTGTTATCTGTCTCTTATACACATCTTATTCACCCATTACCACATTTAATACCACTAATTGGAAAAATCTACAAACTGTCTCTTATACACATCTAGATGTGTATAAGAGACAGGACCAGGACGCCCGGGGACTGATGGCAGACCAGGACGCCCGGGGACTCATGGCAGACCAGGGCGACCAGGAACTGATGACAGACCTGATACTGGAGGCAGACCAGGACGACCGGGAACTGATGACAGACCAGGACGACCGGGGGCTAATGACAAAACTGGAAGACCAGATGCTGATAGCAGACCAGGGAGACCAAGTACCAGTGACAGACCAGTACGACCTGTCACACCAGGGAGACCGAGTACTAATGGCAGACCTGGACAACCTGATACTGAAGGCAGACCAGGAAGACCAGGAAGACCAGATATTGATGGTAGACCAGGAAGACCTGATAGCGATGGCAAACCAGGACGACCTGATACTGATGGCAGACCAGGACGACCTGATACTGATGGCAGACCAGGACAACCTGATACTGATGGCAGACCAGGACGACCAGATAGCGATGGCAAACCAGGACGACCTGATAGCGATGGCAAACCAGGACGACCTGATAGCGATGGCCGTCCTGGACGACCTGATACTGATGGCAAACCAGGACGACCTGATAGCGATGGCCGTCCAGGACGACCTGATATCGACGGCCGTCCAGGACGACCAGATAGCGATGGAAAACCAGGACTACCTGATAGCGATGGCCGTCCTGGACGACCTGATACTGATGGCAAACCAGGACGACCAGATAGCGATGGCAATCCAGGACGACCTGATAGCGATGGCCGTCCAGGACGACCTGATAGTGATGGCAAACCAGGACGACCTGATATAGATGGCCGTCCTGGACGACCTGATAGTGATGGCAAACCAGGACAACCTGATAGCGATGGCCGTCCTGGACGACCTGATAGTGATGGCCATCCAGGACGACCTGATACTGACGGAAAACCAGGACGACCTGATAGCGATGGCCGTCCAGGACGACCTGATAGTGATGGCAAACCAGGACGACCTGATACTGACGGAAAACCAGGACGACCTGATAGTGATGGCCGTCCAGGACGACCTGATACTGATGGCAAGCCAGGAAGACCTGATACTGATGGCCGTCCAGGACGACCTGATAGTGATGGCAAACCAGGACGACCTGATAGCGATGGCCGTCCTGGACGACCTGATACTGAAGGCAAACCAGGACGACCTGATAGCGATGGCAGATAGCGATGGCAAACCATTACGACCTGTTAGCGATGGTCGTCCTGGACGACCTGATACTGATGGCAAACCAGGACGACCTGAGAGCGATGGCCGTCCTGGGCGACCTGATAGTGATGGCAAACCAGGACGACCAGATAGTGATGGCAAACCAGAACGACGTGGTAGCGATGGCCGTCCAGGACGACCTGATACTGATGGCAAACCAGGACGACCAGATAGCGATGGCAATCCAGGACGACCTGATAGCGATGGCCGTCCAGGACGACCTGATACTGATGGCAAACCAGGACGACCAGATAGCGATGGCAATCCAGGACGACCTGATAGCGATGGCCGCCCAAGACGACCTGATATTGATGGCAGACCAGGACGTCTTGATACTGATGGGAGACCATCAAAACCTGATATAACAGGAAGACCTGGTCGGCCTGATGCTGGTGGACGACCACGTGCAACGGACGAAGGGTCAGTTTCTGGTGGCAGACCACTTCCTGAGGCTAGACCAATTTCGGTAAGTAGAACCGTTTCAAGTGGCAAACCAATCGGTAACGCGGGTTGGCCTATCAGATCAGGTCTACAGGCGGCGGCTACGAGACTGGACGCTCTACGGCCTCAACAACTGACGCGCCTTTCTTCCACGAGTGAGCAACAAACCGGGTTAGATCCAATGCTTCTACCAGTAAGCGGTCACGTTGAGCCGAACAACAGCAAACGACAGATGGTTGAATATGCCCCTTATTCACTGTCCTTGGAAATCCTTGATTCGCCTGCAAATGTCGAGGTTAATTATCTAGGCGTCAAAGATGCGCCACCACAGCAAAAAGTTTCCTTGACCCGAGTTGGTAATGGCGATGTTCGGGCAAAAACTCGCTCAAAATTGCCTGGAGGTCCCGTCTCCATTGGTGATTCGTGGAAAATTTTTGAAAGAAATAGATTGAAAATCAATGATCACGAATTTTCAGGAAACACTCAACTGCCTATAAATTGGTTCAAAATCTACAACAAATACAACCAACAAGCAGAAGGTTCCATCACTGACAATATCTATTCCGAAATATATCAATCAAATGATCGAAACGGCGCTGAAGAAGAAAGTCTCCCTGTAGAACAACGACCGAGTAACTCACTTTCACTCGTCAGAGATTCAGCCATAAGCAGCAAAAATCAAAGATTCCTGTCTAGCCCAAGAAACAGCAAAATGAATCCAACTACCGCAAAAATGAACGATGTTCTGGAGAATTTCGGGTGTCAATCCATCGGCGATCGGCCTACGGCAAATGGACACCGAAATGTGAACTGCACCATTAAATCAATTTGCAACGATGAAGGAATTCAAATAGTGAGTATGATATTTGCAATATTCCATAGTTAGCTAACGTACGTATCTCCAACACATACTCCGATTTTGCAGCATTACTCTCGTTTTTCCGTTTTTACCATTCCACTTTCAAAAAGTAATACCGGCAATAAAATTCATGTTGACTATGAAAATCAATTAAAATTTTGTTCTGAAAAGCAGAGAACATAGCATGTGGTGATAAATACATATGAGGCATCCATATGAGGCAATAGGCATCCAAGCTAAAAATTAAAAACTCGCATTTGACATCATTTATAATGATGATTGAACAATCAAAACTTCAAGTTCTCAGCGATCTGAATAATAAAAGTTCCAAGCATTTTTTTGGTCTTGAACTTCATTCTAGTGTAAAATAGCGTATCACTGCTACGTCCACTTTACGCTCATGCTGTAGGTAATAACATGTGTCAGTATTTGGACAATATGACCCATTCAACTTTCTGAGAATGGATATTGTTCACAATAGGAAGAATTGGTCGGGTGTGAGACTTACCTGGAGTGCGTGGCGACGAAGGACGGTTCTCTGCAACTGGCGGAACTGCCGTGTTCAAATGCACGTCATTTCTACAGCTACAAGCATGGCATGTGTGGAGACGAGTCAACGTGTAAGTAGAACTTCAACTAAATAAATCAACTTCAACTCAATAAATGAAATAGAACGCTGAAAAATCCTAAGAAATCTTAAGCGGCGAGGAAGCAATATAAATCGAAGTGGAGCTAATTAATCAGCTGTTAAATCTGTAATATTCAATTCAAACATAACTGAAGTTAAACAATAAAGAAGTCCGGAACACAGTAAAAATCATATGGTCACATTTATTACGAACAAATTAAAAACCCTACAAAGTATCTTAAATAAAGGTAATATCTAAAGTGGTTGTCACGGCAAATAATATAAGTGGATATTAATTAGAAGCAGGAAATCACTAATTATATTCACCCATTACCACATTTAATACCACTAATTGGAAAAATCTACAAAGCATCTCAAATAATGATAATAATATCTGACACAGCAAAAATCTAAGTAGATATTAATTAGTAGTTAAAAATATAAATAGATATCAAGCGCATTCACCCATAGAGATAAGACACGAAATTATAATCATCAATTTCCCCATTTAATTGGGAAAATCTTCATAGCGCCTTAAATAAAAATAATTATGGCTGCCATGGTATATAATATAAGTATATTTTAATTAGCAGGAGAAATTATAAGCAAACATCTAGCATATTCATACATGAACATGAGAAACGAAATAATAATCATTAATCATAAACTCCGCACATCAGTTGGAGGTGAGGCTTGCCATGAGCAGGGATCTTCTCTTCACGAGAGATGTACATCTCACGGTCACATCCCCTCCCTGACTACCGCTGGCAGGAAGCGTCTGTGTCGTACACAAGCTCCGTGCTACGTACAGGTCAGGGGCCATACTTTCAAAACTTGCTAAGTGAACGTAAGTACTTACGCTCTATTTTCTTGTCTATGATTGGTGGATTTTGCTTGAAAGACCGTCAATGATTGGCTGATGAACTTACGATCACTTATTTTTTTTAAAGTAAGGGCCCAGGCTACGAGACATACGATTGCTCTCATTTAATAGTAATTATAATAAATCAGTTAATATGAATTAGGTTATTCAAATGATTTATATCATTTTCGTTGCAGAACTTTTATAGCCCATCTTAAACAGTCGCGTTCAAGAATTTAACTTTTTCCAAAAGTAGAAACTGTAAAATGTCACAAAAATCATAAAAATGTGCATATTACATTTATTTATATAATAATTGTTTGAAACATTATAGAAAGGACCCGATTTTTACGCAAAAAGTTGTACCGTAATTCTTTTACAATAAACTGCTGTTTCCAGAGAAATGTTGACAAACATGCCCGTTGGGTTTACATGTTCGGCATTTGGAATGAGAAATTTTTAAAATAAACTCAGCTTTCGCGATTTGTCATCACTATATCCAAAAATCTTTTCGTAGGAATTGATGATTTGAAATTTAATTTGAAGGTAATTAAATTAAAAGTTATAAAAAAAGATTGAGGCAAATGAAACTATAAAATTGAACGTGCAGCGTGAGGGGAGAGAGCTGTGTCGCCAGTACTACCAGTGCTACACGTCAGAGGGGCGCGAGGGTAGAAAGTTCTTCAGTTCACGTCTAAAGTCTTGCCCTCGCGGCCACCTCTTCAGCTACCAACTCATGGCCTGCGTCGAGCCTCAAACAGGTGCGGAACATTTCGAGGTCATGTCTCGCTTATAAATTATCTTTATTGTAGAACGGGATTGTAACTGGAGTAACCGCATCCTTTGGTCTTCGGATGAGAACCGGTCAGGTGCTGAATTACTAATTACTATTAGGTCGTCCTGGTCTGTTTCCTTAAAATTCAATAACAAATCTTCTTTCAATATCATACAACGCTCTAGTATTTATATATCAGTTTATGGCCAAATCGAGCGAACCAAAGACTCGTGCATACATATGAAGCGCTACCATCATAACAAAAATACCGAATAAGTCATGAATTTCGTTAAATTACCGGAAATTAAAGAGTAAATATTCAACGTATATGCGTACGCAGAAAATTCATGAATGTTACCACATTTGTTACGGACGGCTTTGTTGACAGCATGCGTGTTGATATGCTAGAATAAATACACCATCTTTACTTGGATAAATTTTAGGGCGATAAACAGGTCCGGGTTTGAGAACAAAAATTTGAAAATAAAAGCGCACTCGTGTCATGAACGACAACTTTGATTTTAAAATAAACGGCATCAGAGCTTCAAATAACGGGTCTTTGCACTGCAGGTCGATGCTGACGAGAGGGATCACTGCCCCCCTACACTGTGAACGCCCCCCTACCTTATGGTCCTATTTACACGGGACTGGGGGGAGCAACGCCCCCCCACGGCTCTGACAGTTGCACGGAACTTGGGGGACCAACGCTACGGTCCTGCCATTTGCACGGGTTAGCTCTGTGCAAACAAGTTACGCACTGAAATATTATTACGGATTATTAAATATTAATTCGTTATCACGGTTAAATTTTTTGTCAGGGGTATCGTGAAAGATTGGGTTATGATCTGGTAACAGTTTCGTCGGTCATGAACTACAATGAAATATTCATGTATTATTTGAAATACGGAATTGCGTTTCGTTCAATAACAGAACTGCATAGAACAAATTAATTTGTATTAACATGAGTAAAGGATGTCCAAGTTTCATCAGCTTTATGATTTTTAAAGAAAATTCCAGGACAAATTTCGCAGCTTTTGTAGCTCCGGGGTCTTCATGAATCATACGATCTGTATAGCAGAGGTCGTGTATAGTTCTTATTGCAATGGCAAGGAATAATTAAGTTGTATGCCTTCTCTTACTTATTTTAGGTGAGATGCAATGAAATTGTAATGCATAACTTTGTTTCATTCGAATGATTACCACATATAAATAAAGCAACATGGAGTTGTAGGCGTAAGATTTACATAAAGGCTTAACTTTACATAAGATTTCTCAATTAAGACGAGCCCAAACTGAATGATCAAATATCGACTCTTCTGAACACTAAGTGAAATAAAAATGAAAAACAGTCCTCGAATATTTGCAGGCTCTAACACAAAGCAAAAATGTCATAACTGTTGATAAACTTCAAAACTCCTAAACTTGCTACAATATAAAGTAATGATTCGAAATAAAATTTGAGATGGGAATGAGTTTAAACTCATTCAAGGTCAAGGCTGCTGAAATTGCATGGGTCAATGTAAACGGCCCCATCTTAAATGATTTGAATCTCAGATAAATCTATAGCACGAGTATCTCAGCAAGTAATTATAGAAGACCTAAGAAGAACGCACTCAAAAACACATGCCTCAGACCAACACAATTTTGTTTGTGCTACAATCAGGAAGGCTTAGGAAAGAGTTTAGTGAGAATGTTCACGTAAGTAAGACACGTGGTTTAACTTAACTTCAATTATATGAACAAATACATTACATTACATGTATTACAACTATTTTCAAAGGCGACTAGAAGGTCCATTAGTCGATGTTGTGTTGGGAGGAAGTATGTTAGACTATAAATTCGTGGAAAATTTACACCCAGAGAAATTTGCGAGACTTTGTACAAACAGCAATGCAGTTTTTGCCCTTAAACGGTCATCCTGACCCAGTTTGGCTCGGCAAAAGAGCCTATCAGTGCTACTACCTGCTCGTGTTAGGGTAAGAAAGTGCGTCACTATTTGGACAATATGATCAAGTCATCTTTCTTAGTGTATGTAGCAGCAGACTACACTACTTCATATTTATGATTCAGGGAACGTATATCAATAGCAACTAGCATTAAACATAACCCTGACAACGCTATGATTACAATTCTTTCAAACGGGATAATGTTACACGAACTAAAGCAGCGTCCGGTGCGAGAATCATTGAGTATATTAACTTGCGTGACAAGAGATACGCAATATTACGTTCTCCGAATTGTCGTAACATAGATTCCAACATTCCGTTATATACATCACACGTGCTGATGACGAACTAGTCATATAAACATATATAGGCTAGAGCAGTACAGTCATATTGCTAACTTGATTACAGTGCACCAGGAGTTTAAATTATAGATGTACACCATCCAAACAATAAGTTCTAAGCTTTCTAAGTTAAAATACAACCGAAAATTGGACGCAATAAAATATCCTCGCTCCACACTTCACTTGTCTATAAATTCAGTAAGTATTATTTGTCTTTCAAAAATAAGAAACCGGCATAGTGCAGAAGTTGCAATCGTGCTTTGCGACACCATTATGGAACTACAGTGTCGTTGAAAAACACCGATGAAATACACAGTGTTTTCAAAAATGCATTGCAGATATGCCTAAAGTTTTACTTAGTCATTATACTAATAATTTCTAACTGAGACTAATTTCATTAAAGAGCTACAAAAAAGTATCAATCTAATATAAGAAATTAACACTTGTCGTGGCAGTTGTGGCCATTCCAAAGAGCTGAACGAAAGAAACCTTTCGAATATTGTGCAGGAGACGTAGCGCCAAATGATAGAAATGATGTACCTTGAACAAATATTTATCGTCTACTGTTGAAGCAAGATTTATTGAATAGAAATTTAAAAGCGAAGAAAACACCACAAAAATTTAGCATATCTCTTTTGAAAACGTTTCGGAGACCAGCTCCATCGTCAGTTCGATAAATCTAGTTTTCAAAAGAGATATGCTAAATTTTTGTGGTGTTTTCTTCGCTTTTAAATTTCTAGTGAATCTGCGATTAAAGCAATCTAGTGACTTTTTTAGATTTATTGAAATAACGCTTCAATTCAACAATTTCTCATTTATAAACGTCTCAAATTAATCCTCATTCTATAGTGATCAACATTTGTACAACGAGGTTTAGGTAGGTATCTTTTACCTGCTTACAATAATAACATTAAAACCTCAATAAATAGTACTAACAATACTACCAAATAGTAGGTACTAATAACACCATATACTGATTAAATAGTACTAATAACACAATGTCATGATTAAATAGTACTAATAACACAATGCCTTGATTGAATGATGCATGGATAGAACAAATACCTATAAGCTTACGACAGATGCTCTTTTTCCCTCTTTTTTTTCGTCATATAAAAAATAATCGTGCTAAAACTTAAGTTTTAACGCGTGTAATCTGTGAAATGAAGGCCAGTAATATGGAATGACGTCTCAATAATTTCGCAACAGAACAAAAGTATAAAAATGTTACACGACAAAGTAGGCTCCAAATTAGTACCATCCCTTCAAACGCCGACTACGCATGAAGCACACCAATGTTAGATGAAGCTGCGCTATACATGTGAATTCGCTTGATCTGAATTATTATGAATTTATTGCTTTGCCGTAAGACAGGAACTAAGAATTTTAAAGAAATTCCCATGATACTGCTGCGTTCAATAATTCTGGTATCAATGTTGAAAATTCGTTGGCTTTGACTTATATTTAAATTTACGACCCACATCAAAAACGACGATGAAATAAATCCTGAAATGAGGAATATCTTGCCCATATTTTAGCCTGGGAGGAAGCTTCTTTTTAAAAATATCCGAAAAATGAAGCGGAATTCCCGAGTACAGATTGGCGATTAGTTATTTCAATTAATTTATTGACCTTCGTGGAAGTAAATGGTCTAAGACAGGCAGTCAGACCCCGAGGTCTTAAGCTCACTGGCTAATGATTTACAGACCCTTGTTGAAGTAGAGGGTCTGAGGAAGACGTTCAGATCCAAGGTTGTCCCTCAATACCTTGAATGCGCCAGGCTCATGCTTCTCGATGCTCCTAACTTCAATGGAACTGTCGAGGAAATGCAATAATCATAATGAATTATAATTATATGTTATTAATTACAAGTAAGAAGTGCATCATCAATATTATTAATGTTGCACATAGGAGCAAATTTATCCTCAAAAATGTTCAATCATTAAGAATTATTTTAATGAGTGAACAGAATTGAATCAAGACAACGAATATTGTTCACATGAGGATGATTTACTATCTTATCAAAGAATCGAAGAACCGATGCAAAAAATTATAAGAATAACTCACCGAGCATTTTAAACGTGACATCGTTTTAGCGTTGAAAAAACGCTGATTAAACATTATTTCAACGTCATATGTCTGAAGGAACAACCCACCAGCGCTGGTCGAAGAGCGAGCAGGCAAGCGGCACCATGAGCGTGAGGGAGGCGCCACAGAGCAGCGTCTGAAGGGGCAGGTTCACGGCAGGTCTGTACCACCGCAGCGCCTCCACACGACGCATTAACAGCGGTAGCAGCAGCATCCCTGGCGCAGCCATTACGATGCGCGACACCACCACCTCACTGATGCCCTTAGCAGCGCCCACCTGGGCACGGTAATGCGTGTAAACTTTACGTGAAGGACCTCACGCCCTCACTACACTCGACACCACCACCTCAATGATGCCATTAGCAGCGCCCACCTGGGCACGAGGCATGGTAGGGCGACGTCTCTCACGAGAAAGCGGTGTTATTTACACGCGTCAGAGCAGGATAAGCTGGTCACGTGAAAATAACAATCAATTAGCTTGTGCCGGAAAGAAAAGGACGATGGCGTGCTATAAGTGGTCGATGGCGTGCTATAAGTGGTCGATGGCGTGCTATAAGTGGTCGATGGCGTGCTATAAGTGGTCGATGGCGTGTTATAAGTGGTCGATGGCGTGCTATAAGTGGTCGATGGCGTGCTATAAGTGGTCGATGGCGTGCTATAAGAGGTCGATGGCATGCGATAAGAGGACGCTAGCATGCGATAAGAGGTTGAAGGCGTGCGATAAGAGGTCGATGGCATGAGTTAAAAGGTCGATGGTGTGCTATAAGAGGTCAACGGCGTACGGTAAGAAGTATGTGGCATAATCAGTATCAGCAACCTCATTTGAGTTTAAATACATAAAAATTGACAAAAATAAAAATAATGAATAGAAATATGACTGAAATTTTAGTTAACATTCACCTTAGAGTATCCAACGTGGTTGCCATTTTCATCCACCAAGGCAACACCAGAAATGAGCTCATTCTGTCGCATCAACGGTATGTTGACCATGTTGGCAGCCGCCACAGCTATGAAGGGCACAAATCGCTGAAATTTATGAGACCTTTTAATATTCCAGAACATTTTGCATCATACAAATTACATGAATACCATGCAGGCAACTGTGTATCTGATGAATCAAATTAACAATAAATATATACAACTTTATGATAATTTGATTGTTCTTATTTTCATTTACCTTGGAATAAAATAGCCCCATCAGTATTTCAAGAACTCTAAAATAAAAGACAAATCAATTGAAAAATTACTTTTTCAATTGATTTTCATTTAGTTATTATAGGTTTTAATATCTGCTACCTACATGAATTCTATTCATACTTATTGGTTGTACTTGCATGCTAGGGGTTTTGAAGTGATAATGCAGCAAAACTCCAAATGTTTTTTTTAGAAATATGGTGTATTTTTGTGACATGTCTTAGTGAAAGTATTTCATTAATACATAAAAATCTAGCAACTGCATTTGCATGTGTAATTGATAATATTTAGGAGAAGACTCCTAAGTGATTTGAAGGCAAGCAAACTTTGGAAAAAATCTCTAAAAAACTGATGAAAACTTCCCAATAAAGTTAACATAATGTTCTAAGCAAATGATCTTTGTTAAAATTGAAGACCTGTTTCCCACCTGAAGTAAAGAAAATTTTTTGGATGAACCAAAAAATTTTTTCAATCCAAGTGCTGTTGTTAGCGCTGCTGTTGTTGCACTAGTGTAGGCAAGACCAAGCTGAGTGGTACTGATGTCCGAGGCAGCATTGCGGTTTGTATAATTCACAAGCGCATTGAAAGACTGGTTTGCCCACTGCCAGAATACTACTGCTGGTGTTGATCTGCAATTAAAATGTAAGTTATCCTGTGTGTTTTTATGACCTTTAATAGAGAAAGTGACAATAAAATTTTTACCAGAGCTTCTCCTTTTCCTCCAATTATGAATACATTTTCATGAATTTTAAAGAGCATCTTCCATGTTCTAAGTTTGTCACTGCCCACAAGAGCATTATCATCAGATCTTGACAAAAAAAATCATATTCATATCAAAATTAATGTGAGCTTCACAGAAGCTTTCATCATCATACAAGAAAAAATGGTTAAACAAGAAAAGCAAAGGTTAAAACATTTACTTGGAACAGGTTAGATTGTTAGTCACCTGTAGAAGGCAAGCATTGCCCCAGTAAGCAGCATACCTCCAGGTACCTGGAAGCTCATGCGCCCAACCAGATTCTGAAGTTCGCCTGAGTCAGGGTGAAATGCCGATTGGTATAGCTTGCTGGCATAACGCAGTTCAGCAGACTCAATGTTTTCAGAAGTACTGAAACAAATGAGAAATATATCATGATTAATTAGTACTTGAATGTAGACAATACATCAGAATTTAGCAATAGGAAATGAAAACAATGATATAACCATTACCGGTATATATCCATTGATGAGAGTGAAGTGATTTCCCAAAATTAATCAATTAAAATAGAATATTTTTAATTAAAAATATAATCAGGGTTGGCAATGATTAAATCAAAATGATTAAATCTTGTGATTAAATCACTTGATTTTTTTTTATAAAAAAATCATGATTTTTTTGATTTTTTTATTTATTTTTTTATTTTTTTCATATATTTAAATATATCGAGTGGCAGTCTTTAATTTATATTGAGGTATTGTTATTCTTTGATTAGTTTAAATGTACAATGAATGACAAATTGGTATATAAACTTGTTGCCTTTAGTGTGTATTAGGTTCCAATAAATTGAATGTTTTTGGTACAGAGGCATCAAGTGTGCAATACATTGTACGTAGCTAGCAGTTTAGCTAATTCTTATAAGGCTATAAGTAGTCTTTAACTATTTGACTATTGGCATAAGGGAATTTGTTATATATTGATTACAATATACAATTTAAATATGTTAGCTAGCTTATACAGTGTGGGGAAGAACTGATTGAACAGTTTTGAGGCAAAATAAAAGAGTAATGGAGGTACATAAAGAAAAAAGTTTATTTTCCTCAAGATTAGCATAACATACCATTTAAAATACTTATGTTTTGAAAACAATATCAGGAAGATGGAGTTTGTTAGCTGCAACACACTGTCAGAGTCGTTCTCGGAAGTTTTCTACAGCACGTTCACACATATGGCGAGGTATGGCCATAACCTCTGCAACAATAATCCATTCCTTTAGCTGTGGTAGGGTGTGAGGGCGACTTTTGAACCCCTTTCTTTTAGATGTCCCCAAAGAAAGAAATTGCAAATGCTCAAATCAGGTGACCTCGCAGGCCACTGTAAATCAGTCCTCAGAGACACCAGACCTCTGGGAAACATGTGTTTCAAAACATTGAGTGACATTCGGGCTGTGCAAGCTGTAGCCCCATCCTGCTGAAACCTCATGTCTTGCAATGCTTCATTTTCAACAATGTTTTCCATCATGGGCTGCAAGAAATTTTGCAACATTGCAGCATAGTGATTGGAATTCACTGTTACGGTTACTCCCTCCTCTGAGAATGACTCCAACAGTGTGTTGCAGCTAATGGCGACCATCTTCCAGATATTGTTTTCAAAACATAGGTATTCTAAATGGTATGTTATGCTAACCTCTAGGAAAATAAACTTTCTTCTTTATGTACCTCCATTACTCTTTTATTTTACCTCAAAACTGCTATATAAGTTCTGCCCCACCCTGTTTATTGAGAGGTTGAGATTGTATTGACCTTTTAAGCAATTAGAAAGATTTTCCACCCTAATACGAGTATTCTAATTAAAATATTTAATTTCAATCTTTAAATATGTGAATTTAAAACTAGAAACAAAACAATTAAAATTATAAGACTATATATAAAATAATGAAATGCAGTGAATGGATATAAAATATTTGAATTGTGCACATGTTTATTTCAAATAGTGTTAGATTTTCTCATAACTTAAGTCTCGTTTCAAGTCGTACGTATGAGGTTTGTTAGGTTATTGTTCAGTTTATGTTTAGTACCTATTGGTTTATTGGTCTGAATTAAATGGGAACAGTGCAGTCAGTCACTCAGTCACTACTAGTCGGTGTGTATAGAGGTTAGAGTCTGGTAGATTTATAGGACATAAAACTAGTAGATCTATTGATAGTGCTGTGCACTGTGCTATCAGCTACCTATCTGTTAAGTGACTCTTCAATGTTTAGAAGATCTGCATTCCTGAAGTGTTTTTGTATATTGAAGCCAGTTAAATGGTCAATATTTACCTCATTACCTTGCTCCATACAAACTTTACAAAGCTATTGAATAGACTTATCAATAATTGTTTACCCCAAAATCCCTCAGTGGTAAACACCACCTTGGCCTGTTGGCCATTATTGAAGGCAATAAAAGCCCTTTTTAGCCATCCATTATGATCCATATACTGTTATTGTTAGTAGGCTAATTGCAACATAAAAAAAACACTTCAAAAAGACAAAAAAGCTGAAAAAATCAAATAAATCAAATAAATCAAAAAAATCATTGATTTTTAATTTTTTTGATTTTTTTTTTTAAATCAAAAAAATCACCAACCCTAAAAATATTTGAAAAGTAAGTAACTCTCACAAGCAATTTTTCACCTCTAGGCTTTGCAATATCTCACCATAAATTACACATAAGTTGCCATTTAGCAAATACTGTACCTGCCAATGAAAACTATTTAACGGTGGGAATACCATTAACAACTATTTAAGTATTAGTACAGTTCAGTCACCACATAATAACTTTGAAGCAAAATTTCTGATCTTGCTGGAGAAATGTGCATACCACTTTTTTATAAAATAAAATATATTGATTCTAGTGGAGGCTTGTTGTGGAAAAACAGGCAAAAGCAACTACAGAAAGAGAAAAAAAAGTCTGTGCTTATGGTTAACTTTACCTATTTTAAATGGCCTTTGCTTAATTTATTTTAAAAAAATTATAGAATCAGCTCATTTTTGCTTGGGATTTTTGAACATCACCCATAAAATAATAGTTTTTACCTGTGGTTTCCAAAAATCCTGTGAAAAAAAGTTGGCATTAGTCTGGCATGCTGCCAAGCTGGCAGCTACTAGATACTGATTACTGACCACACATCTCAGTAGTAAGTACTTTATTGGCAAGCTAAAGAGTTATTAGTTATTATGTGTTTTTCAGTCAATTATGATCTTTTTAAATCAATGCAATATTATCAAATTGGAAAATAGGTTCTTACTATTAGGATCATGCAGTTACAAAGTCAAGTAGAGGAAAAATTTACATTTTACAGATAAATCACTTGGTTTTGTCTAGTATTAATTAGGTACAATCTTAACTATAAAAGTTTTAATTTTCCTATAAAAATACCGTCAACTGGGGCAACTCGGGACTGGCGGGGAAACTCGGGACGCACCTCTGACACGTTGTAAAACAGTCATAGTAGCGAAACTAATTGGAATATTGCTAAACTAAATATAGTGGCCTAAACAACAACATTTTTCCTATCTATGTAGTATAAAGGAAATCGAAAACACGACATTTACTAGCTTTGAAAAATTCCTGAAAAAAATGGTGAAAAACGCTATTTTGAAAAGTTACTTCAGCTAAGGTCTGTAGCAAAAAAAAATATTTGCCGTATTAAAAAATTTTACTTACATAAAAGTTGCACCCAGGTGTCGGCTTGAAAACGTAATTGACAGATTTTGCCTATCTCATTACAAAAAAAAATGGCAGCCATTTCCGCACGGCGGGGCTACTCGGGACACCCCCCCGGGGCTATTCAGGACACCCCGGAAAGGACATTTACAGTAGAACCTCAGTTAGCAAAGGCTCCAGTTAAGAAAAAAATTGATTAAAAACAAAGAATATTGATTACATTTACCTCGC